GTTCGGGGAGGGAGGGGGAGAGGGAGAGGGAGAGAGGGAGAGAGGGAGAGAGGGAGAGAGGGAGAGAGGGAGAGAGGGAGAGAGAGAGAGAGAGAGAGAGAGAGAGAGAGAGAGAGAGAGAGAGAGAGAGAGAGAGAGAGAGAGAGAGAGAGAGAGAGAGGCAGCAGCAGAGATTTTTAACGAGCGTGGTTGACTAAAAGCCAGAAACTATACCCTGGAAACACAAACCGAAACTGTCTCTATTTTCCGCTTGTTACAACTTGCAATAAAGTTGTTACATCTTGGCTTAACGTGTTTATGACGTATTAGAACGTTATTACAACTTGCTAGGTGTTGTTATAACTGGTTAGGTGTTAAAACTTGTTCGAACGTTGTACCAACGTCATAGTTTCGGTGTGTGTTTGGCGGGTATGATGTTCTCTGGATCAAGGGCAGAACCAGAGGGAAGAATGTGGATGTCAGGGACTCCACCACTGGGACGAGAGGAGACACTGACGCCACCACTGGGACGAGAGAGACACCAACTCCACCACTGGGATGAGTGAGACACCAACTCCACCACTGGGACGAGAGAGACACCAACTCCACCACTGGGATGAGTGAGACACCAACTCCACCACTGGGACGAGAGAGACACCAACTCCACCACTGGGATGAGTGAGACACCAACTCCACCACTGGACGAGAGAGACACCAACTCCACCACTGGGATGAGTGAGACACCAACTCCACCACTGGGACGAGAGAGACACCAACTCCACCACTGGGATGAGTGAGACACCAACTCCACCACTGGGACGAGTGAGACACCAACTCCACCACTGGGACGAGAGAGACACCAACTCCACCACTGGGATGAGTGAGACACCAACTCCACCACTGGGATGAGTGAGACACCAACTCCACCACTGGGATGAGTGAGACACCAACTCCACCACTGGGATGAGTGAGACACCAACTCCACCACTGGGACGAGTGAGACACCAACTCCACCACTGGGACGAGTGAGACACCAACTCCACCACTGGGACGAGTGAGACACCAACTCCACCACTGGGACGAGTGAGACACCAACTCCACCACTGGGACGAGTGAGACACTGGAACAAAGTTGGGGAAACAGCAGGACCGAGAGCTGTGGCCTTCTTATCTTTCAGGGAGAATGAAGAGCTTTTCGTTTCTGGCGGTAAGACAAGGACCGAGGCAACCCACCAACATTGAAGGCGTCGTCCAGAGGTCTCGCTACACCAAGGTGGAACTCATGCGGACGCTGTGTTATATTTAGTCTAAGTAAGTCTCATCTTTATAATGTTACGCTATAAGCTTTGCCAAATCAAGTCTCTGCAGTACTTGTAAGCTATAAAATATTTCGTCTGGTCACCTGTTCACTACAGCCACAACTATAATAATTTGTATAAATCATTTACTAATAAAATTTTCTTAATATAAATACAAAGTTGCGGGATAAATAGATTTAAAAGTGTAAATCTCAAAGAAGTTCTCTCTCACTTTAATTTTCTTCATTCAATTAATATTTTTCTCATCGACTCTGTTACCCTGCCTCACCAACCATCCCCTCCCATGTTACCCTCCCTGCCTCACCAACCATCCCCTCCCATGTTACCCTCCCTGCCTCACCAACCATCCCCTCCCATGTTACCCTCCCTGCCTCACCAACCATCCCCTCCCATGTTACCCTCCCTGCCTCACCAACCATCCCCTCCCATGTTACCCTCCCTGCCTCACCAACCATCCCCTCCCATGTTACCCTCCCTGCCTCACCAACCATCCCCTCCCATGTTACCCTCCCTGCCTCACCAACCATCCCCTCCCATGTTACCCTTCCTGCCTCACCAACCATCCCCTCCCATGTTACCCTCCCTGCCTCACCAACCATCCCCTCCCATGTTACCCTCCCTGCCTCACCAACCCTCCCCTCCCATGTTACCCTCCCTGCCTCACCAACCATCCCCTCCCATGTTACCCTCCCTGCCTCACCAACCCTCCCCTCCCATGTTACCCTCCCTGCCTCACCAGCCATCCCCTCCCATGTTACCCTCCCTGCCTCACCAACCATCCCCTCCCATGTTACCCTCCCTGCCTCACCAACCATCCCCTCCCATGTTACCCTTCCTGCCTCACCAACCATCCCCTCCCATGTTACCCTCCCTGCCTCACCAACCATCCCCTCCCATGTTACCCTCCCTGCCTCACCAACCATCCCCTCCCATGTTACCCTCCCTGCCTCACCAACCATCCCCTCCCATGTTACCCTTCCTGCCTCACCAACCATCCCCTCCCATGTTACCCTCCCTGCCTCACCAACCATCCCCTCCCATGTTACCCTCCCTGCCTCACCAACCCTCCCCTCCCATGTTACCCTCCCTGCCTCACCAACCATCCCCTCCCATGTTACCCTCCCTGCCTCACCAACCATCCCCTCCCATGTTACCCTCCCTGCCTCACCAACCATCCCCTCCCATGTTACCCTCCCTGCCTCACCAGCCATCCCCTCCCATGTTACCCTCCCTGCCTCACCAACCATCCCCTCCCATGTTACCCTCCCTGCCTCACCAGCCATCCCCTCCCATGTTACCCTCCCTGCCTCACCAGCCATCCCCTCCCATGTTACCCTCCCTGCCTCACCAGCCATCCCCTCCCATGTTACCCTCCCTGCCTCACCAGCCATCCCCTCCCATGTTACCCTCCCTGCCTCACCAGCCATCCCCTCCCATGTTACCCTCCCTGCCTCACCAGCCATCCCCTCCCATGTTACCCTCTCTGCCTCACCAGCCATCCCCTCCCATGTTACCCTCCCTGCCTCACCAGCCATCCCCTCCCATGTTACCCTCTCTGCCTCACCAGCCATCCCCTCCCATGTTACCCTCCCTGCCTCACCAACCATCCCCTCCCATGTTACCCTCCCTGCCTCACCAACCATCCCCTCCCATGTTACCCTCCCTGCCTCACCAACCATCCCCTCCCATGTTACCCTTCCTGCCTCACCAACCATCCCCTCCCATGTTACCCTCCCTGCCTCACCAACCATCCCCTCCCATGTTACCCTCCCTGCCTCACCAACCATCCCCTCCCATGTTACCCTCCCTGCCTCACCAACCATCCCCTCCCATGTTACCCTTCCTGCCTCACCAACCATCCCCTCCCATGTTACCCTCCCTGCCTCACCAACCATCCCCTCCCATGTTACCCTCCCTGCCTCACCACCCCTCCCCTCCCATGTTACCCTCCCTGCCGCACCACCCATCCCCTCCCATGTTACCCTCCCTGCCTCACCAACCATCCCCTCCCATGTTACCCTCCCTGCCTCACCAACCATCCCCTCCCATGTTACCCTCCCTGCCTCACCAGCCATCCCCTCCCATGTTACCCTCCCTGCCTCACCAACCATCCCCTCCCATGTTACCCTCCCTGCCTCACCAACCATCCCCTCCCATGTTACCCTCCCTGCCTCACCAGCCATCCCCTCCCATGTTACCCTCCCTGCCTCACCAACCATCCCCTCCCATGTTACCCTCCCTGCCTCACCAGCCATCCCCTCCCATGTTACCCTCCCTGCCTCACCAGCCATCCCCTCCCATGTTACCCTCCCTGCCTCACCAGCCATCCCCTCCCATGTTACCCTCCCTGCCTCACCAGCCATCCCCTCCCATGTTACCCTCCCTGCCTCACCAGCCATCCCCTCCCATGTTACCCTCCCTGCCTCACCAACCATCCCCTCCCATGTTACCCTCCCTGCCTCACCAACCATCCCCTCCCATGTTACCCTCCCTGCCTCACCAACCATCCCCTCCCATGTTACCCTCCCTGCCTCACCAACCATCCCCTCCCATGTTACCCTCCCTGCCTCACCAACCATCCCCTCCCATGTTACCCTCCCTGCCTCACCAGCCATCCCCTCCCATGTTACCCTCCCTGCCTCACCAACCATCCCCTCCCATGTTACCCTCCCTGCCTCACCAACCATCCCCTCCCATGTTACCCTCCCTGCCTCACCAGCCATCCCCTCCCATGTTACCCTCCCTGCCTCACCAGCCATCCCCTCCCATGTTACCCTCCCTGCCTCACCAGCCATCCCCTCCCATGTTACCCTCCCTGCCTCACCAGCCATCCCCTCCCATGTTACCCTCTCTGCCTCACCAGCCATCCCCTCCCATGTTACCCTCTCTGCTTCACCAGCCATCCCCTCCCATGTTACCCTCTCTGCTTCACCAGCCATCCCCTCCCATGTTACCCTCCCTGCCTCACCTACCATCCCCTCCCATGTTACCCTCCCTGCCTCACCAGCCATCCCCTCCCATGTTACCCCGTCTCCCCCCCCCCACCCCCTGTCTCTTATGTCTCCTTTTCAAACAATGTTACAAGCAGTATGGTGTGGAGCGTCCAGGCGACGAAGGGAGGCACAGGGGCGGGCTGGCCAGCCATGCTGTAGTTGCAGGAGAGAGGCGCGCGCATCTGTCAGCTCCACAGGGAGTGCGAAACAAGATTTTAATTAAGCAAGTTAAGGCCCACCCCGGCGGCCTATCTCATGCAACTGTAATAGGAAAAGGGAAGCTTTCATGGCTCAGTTAGGTATCTATCACATAGCGTTAACTCACAGGCTCTTTACGGATCGGTAACCTGCCCCTTGCTGTCCTAATTGCATTGCTCCGCTTATAGTCATCCATTTCCTGGTTAAGTATCCAGATTTTCAGGCAAAACATAAATCTGACTGCCCCACTCTCCCCATACACCACACGTCCCTCGATAAAAATCCTCTGAGAATCCGACTCCTCTCATTACGGGCTATTCATGCCCGTGCCACCTTTTGGGTGGCTTAATCTTTATCAATCATCAATCGACTCCTCTCAACTCTGCTACTGACACCCCGAGTGATATCCAGGAACTCTCGAGTCATCTGCAACATGTAGTGCTATAGAGCCACACTAGCTTAGTAAGTAATTATTAAAAGAAAGCGCTAAGTCATTGTAAGCTGAAACTGACCTGTAACTGAGCAAATGGAAGGGTGATGTTCCATGTATTCGCGTGTGAACGTGTGAACGATGACGATTATGTAGGTGACGATGGTAGTGAGGGCCATGGCGACGATGCAACGGCTGCTATTGTCACGTCGTAGTTCGGCGACGAAAATATACACAACTGCTGTTGCAGCCAGAAACACGCACGAGACGCCCATCAACACTGGGTTTAATATCCGATACTTCCAGCCACATTCATCGAGGTTTAGGCACAGGTGCACAACCTCCTTAATTTCCCCCGAATCCTGCTCTTGATAATCGACGCAGTAGTCTTCCTGAGAAAATTGATCACCTTCCATCTCCAAATAACCATTTGCTATAATTGTGAAATTATCAAAGTTAAAGCATTGTTCGTTGGTAGGGATGCTGTAGATTATGTGGAAATGGGAGAAGCTGTCAGGGTCACGGATGTGGGTAGAGCCGTCCAATGTCCAGCTCTTGGTGTAGTTGTCATTGTAGATGCACATGGGTGACTCTTCTCCTGAGCGGAGAAACTTGCCTGGAGGACAGCACTTGCGCAAGCAAGTGATGCGAGCACAAACCTGTCGGTCTCGGTACCTCTGAACAAGTGGGTCTATCTTGCAAAAGTGTGCAATATACTGGGGGTGTGGCTCTGTATGTTGTGTACCTAGGCTTGGGAGCTCTTGTGTTTCATTACCAGCTGTGGCAACTCCTCCTCGTCCAAACTCTGTACTTAAATCTTTTCCTTTTTCTCTAGGGTCCTTCCGTGAGGGTTGTTGATGAGCCCCTGGACTCTTTCCGAGTAATACATCAATACAGTAATCCCTTGTTACGTCGTCTCGTGTTTCTAGTTCCACCACATTATTATGAGCCCTGAGGAAGGTTGTGTTACTCAGGTACTCCTGCTTCTCCATAACTCCCTCCTCATCGCCACAATTAATATTCACCTTTATTTGATCCCATTCTGTTTCTGCTCCGGACACTAGAGGCGAGGGAGCATCGATGGCACCCTCGCACAGCTTCACGTATGCTTTATCATATCGCTCCGAATCTTCTTGCCTGAACGTCGGGCAGGCGTGGGCGTTGTGGAGCTCACAGGTGGCCGTTGCATACCTTACACAAGCCACCCACTGAAAAGTTGCAACCAATAGAGTTGTTTTCCACCATGCACCGCGCCCATGCATTCTTACCGGCGCCTCTGGCGGCTTGAAATACTTTGTGTTGACGGTCTTACTGACGATGTTGTGTTGGAGACTATATTATGGTGATGATCTTATGGGTCTTGTGTCCTGGTGAAGGACTTCATGATAAGTTTTGTGCCCTGGTTGGTGCTGACGTCAAAATGAGATGTGGGTCCTTGTGATGACCTCAAGAAGCGTCTCGTGACCTGCTGATGACCTCAAGATGCGTCTCGTGACCTGCTGATGACCTCAAGAAGCGTCTCGTGACCTGATGATGACCTCAAGAAGCGTCTCGTGACCTGCTGATGACCTCAAGATGCGTCTCGTGACCTGCTGATGACCTCAAGATGCGTCTCGTGACCTGGTGATGACCTCAAGACGAGTCTCGTGACCTGGAGATGGCAGTAGAATATATTAAAGTGTTTACCGAAGACGCCACAGCATCCGTATGGCTTGACACATAATATTGATCTGGAACAAATTTTTACATTTAAAGATGTTACGTAGATAGTCCAACCCGTCCTCCTAATACCACGTCGCATTTTGACGTATACTCTACCTAAGGCGAAAAATTGTCATACTAGAAAATGGTAGCGCCTCGCGAAATTGACATTCTGTCCCGTTTTCTGTGTTGGGTCCTCTGGTAGGTTAGGATAAGGGCACTTTAGTACGACAGTTTCTTGACGTTGGGACACCTTAGGAGGACGGGCAGTATAGTTAATATCAGTAAACGTGGCAGTCACATCTGTACACGTGCAGCCACACCAATAAACGTATAGTCACATCAGTAAACGTATAGTCACATTATTTTACGGACAGCCACATCAATAAACGTGCCGAAAAACTGGCAGTTACAGACCCATTTCATTAACATCATGCATTAGTAAAACTGCAGAACGGATGGTCTTAAATAGGCTACTGTGGAAGACTGGAGACTGTATAAACACATATTTGGCTTCACTAGAGGAGTAGGTACTGCCAACTGCATAGCTACATTACTAGAAACAATTAACTGATCAGGTCCGGCTATAGTGATCTTCCTTGATTTAGAAAAAAAAACACTCTTACTTGCAAGCCCGCAAGCAATTTTACACACCTTGGTTAAAAAAAAAACAGGTGTAAAGGGAAATATGCTAGCATGGATTCAAGATTACCTAAGTCACAGGTATGCCATAGCAAAGTTGCTAGGACAAGTGTCGGACTACCACTTGAATGTGAATGAGGCTCCATATGGAGGAGTCCTCAGTCCTAGTTTTTTAAATATCCTTATGGAAAATCTCGTTATCATGACATTTGCAGAAGGGGTTAAATTGCTAAGCTATGCTGGAGATATAGCATTAGTCGTCACGGGTCCTTCACTTTTAAATAAAGCACAAGAGGCGTTAGATAAAGTAACATCTGAATGCAACATTTCCGAGCTAAAAATATCTTCACAGAAGTTTAAGATAATGAGACTAGGCGGTAACACTCCAGACAGGCACCTACGCATTCAAAACATTAACCTTCAGTGGGTTACACAATATCAATGTCTCTGAGTGTGGATCGATTCTAAAATGACACTCGACAAGCAAATTCAATGTCTGAAGGAGAAAGCAAAATCACGACTGAATATAATGAGAGCAATCACAGGGCCTCGTCTAGGAGCGGGACACAAAGTGTTAAGAATGTTTTACATACACGCCGTTCGTTCCCTAGTTGGTTATGCAGCGCCAGCCTTACTCACTCTTTCTCCTGGTCAGTGGGCAAACGTTGAGGTTCTTCAAAACGATGCATTGCGAATCATAACAGGAGCTCCCAGATGGACAAAAATACTGAACCTAAGACTAGAAACCAAGCTAACGTCGATTGAAATAAGGGTAAAAGGGATTGTTGCGTGCATGCTGACCAAGATATTGACTAGACCTAGAATGAGTTCATTTAAAAATATAATCACTGGAGCACTAACTCTGAATAGAAGAGCCTCCAATTGCAACAGGTGGAACCATTGTTCAACAAACACCATCAATATATTCGATATAACAGTCACTGAGAGGGGTGTCGTCGAAATACATGCAGATTTTATTATGCAAGCCCCTTGGGAATCGCTGCCAGCTGACTTTAAGATTATAGCTCTTGAAAGAAAAAAGAACCAGACTAATCCTCATCTGCTATGTAATATTAAACAGATGCATATAGAACCAAATTTGGCATCTGACAGCTTCACATAATTAACAGCTGGATCAGTAGACCAGCAGGGACAAGAAACCGGAGCAGCAGTTAAAGCAGGAAATTCTGTAGTTAGTTGGAGACTCAAAAGGGTGTTCAACTTTACAGAGATGCTAGCCATTCAAAATGCTTTGGAACATGCTCTTGCTGAACACTGACATGTTATCATGCATACAGATTCGAGAACTGCCGATGAAACCTTGGAACAAGAACACATACGTGACAATATCCATCTGATCACAAATATCATATCATTAATGCAAATACTCAACCGTCAAGGTCGTCGGGTACTTATCAACTGGGTGCCAAGTCATTTGAGAATAGGAAAAGACATTGCAGACGAAGCTGCAATGAACCTTTTGTTTTGAGTAGCTGAATCTAAAAACAGCAACAGTAGAATTTATCTGAGAATGTGAAGTAAGACCTTGTTCTAGCCAAAATTGTGCCCTTTTTCTGTGACCTTTATCCCAAACACCAGTCAAACAAAGGAGGCGTAGCAGAAACGTGATGGCTTTTGGCAGAAACACGCAAAAACGTGTTCCAATGTCTTCCAGCTGAGCACGAGCCACGTAGCCATTACGCCTTGAGGGCACATCTTGCATGTGGTCTCCTGGTTAAGTCTTGACGAGCGGACGCCTGGACACCTGCTCCGCCTGGGGGGGCGGGGGGTCGGCAGATCCCGTTCTGTTTCGCGATTTTGTTTTTTAATATTGCCGTTTGGAATTCCTATTCAACGGTCTGGATTGTTACGACGCCTAGCGAACATAGCGCTTTGGGTCACAAGATATTTGTTAGATTTTTAACGTTTTCTGATTAGTTCTTCGGGCGGGGTGACGGTGTCCGGCGCCGGCTTGGCCGAAAGGTGCTGGGAGTTGGTGGATCTTGGTGGGCTCCTGGTGTGCCCTCAGACGTGGTGGGCGGCTGGCTTTTGCTCTGCCGGAGGGCACTGGATAACTTTTGCATTTTAGATGGGGCCGAGTTTTTGGTTTTGATACCCAGTATTCTCTGTGTAGGGTGGGGCTGGTGCTTGTCACACTGAAGGACTCCTGGTGCTCCCCAATCATCTGCCCATCAGTGTGTTTATTTGCCGCGAGGCACATTAGTGTTCGCTGATAAGCGACAGTCATTTCGCCATTAGGCTTCACGATTAACCCTTCACGGGTACGCCGGGGCGCGAATACGATCCCTCAATCATCATCGCCTCTAAATCAACAACAACACCCTGCAGGAGCACACCAACTCTCGCCACCTCTGGGCTAAGCTGGCGTGGCGTACCCTCCTGAAGAACCAGCCGGAAAACGAAAAAATATATCACCTTGCTTGTGGCCTTCAAGCAATAAGTGCGCCAGGCGTCGTATCAACCACGGATGTTGAAGAGGAATGCCAGACGCCATTATCGACACCCAAAATTAGCAAAATCGTGTCACGTGTTCCGAAGGCCGCCAGGCAGAGCAAGTTGTTTAAAAATTATGATGTTTACAACAAAAAATAATTGGTATTTCGCCATAGCAATAAGTGATATATGGAAGGATTAACATCATGGTGCCAACACTATTGTTAGAAAATCAATAAGTGAGGTCGCCGCTCCTGGCGGCAAAACCCAAATTCTCCGGATGAGAAAACCAATGAGAACCTAGTTCTAGAACAGCGTTTCCGGCGTACAGGTGATACAAAGAAAAGTTACCATCACCCAAGATTTTGTAACGAAATGGAAAACGTCATTATCATCTCTATACTATAGGTCCATATAAAAGAAACGGGAAACTTTGAAATACGTCAAGTGTAAAACCAGAAATACTGATGTTACGATGACCAGATTAAGGCCTGGACACACCAAACTGGCAGCATATGGCTCTAAGTACAGAACAGACATTAACGAACGTTGCATCCACCGCCATGTGCCAGAAACAATCGAACACTACCTCCTTCACTGTTTCCGACCTGAAATCCCAGAGTAAACTTCAAACAAGTACTTATCGTCTTTAAAATTTCTTTTATCATCAAGCATACATTAGGAGGTGCCCTCTCTTTACATGTAAAATATCAAATAGTCAAAACACTGGTTAAATATCTCCAGGCGATCAACAAATTGGGCCACATTTGACCTGTGCCACATTTATACCTCGCGCCACCAACAAACACAAAACAAATGCTTCACCGCAGCACCAACGATCAGCTGACGCCAGAAAAACAACATCCCACCCTACAGTGCAGCATATCTTCCTCTAACACTCTCCGCTACAGCAAAAGACAACAAACACATTTCAAACCTTGTCATTCTCAACACAGACGCGCAACGGTGACGCTTCTCTCATCATCTGTCCTCGTGCAGTCATCGGGAGGATAAATTAAGCCATCATGCAAACTGCACATGTCATCAAGAAGAGTGTTGACGCCTACGTCAACAATCCTACACACACACAGCTCCACTTGGAAGTGCGGCTGAACTGCTCGATATACACCAGAGAAATAGCTGCTGCCTGCTTGTTCGTGTTTGTTTCTTCAGCTAGATGTGACTGCAGGGACTAACTAGGTTCTTAGATCCGCGTTTCGAACGTTCTTAGATTACGCACAACTTAATGATGGACTGAAAAGTCATCACTGCCCTTCTCTCCAAACGTGTGGGTTGGAAGTGTAGCCTTCTTAGATTAGTGCAATGATTTATTCCCACACTTGTTTTCAAATTTTGGCATTTCAAATTTTGCGTCGAATTACCTACAACGACTTCTTCATCTAACCTATTTTACCTATTAAAGATTCTGACACTAAAAAAAGCCCTTTTTGAGAGCTATGACTCATTTGTGCCTATTTTCCATGTCACCTCGGTATGCTGTTCTTGTCGATTATCTTAATACTTACACGTCGTTATCTTGTCCCCATCTTTCCTCTCATCCACTGTTACGAGGCCCAGTTCCTTCCTTCTCTAGTAGTTTAAGCCCTTTAATTAGCTCAAAAACGAGCCTTACTGCATATTTTTTAACCTTTTATAGTTTTAACTTGTCCTTCTTCAGGTGAGGGTTCCATAACTGAGCTGCATATTCAGGAGTGGGTCTCACGTAGGACGTGTATAGTTCTCGTTTTGCTTTTTTATCCATGTTTCTGAAGGATAAACGGACGGTGACTAGTATGGCATATAATGCTCTCCGTATTCTGGCAATGTTAGCTTCGGTTATATGATTTGGGAATG